AAATAAAATGGGTGGATTGCATAATACATGAATTATATCTCAATAAAGATGTTATATAAAGCGAAAAAAGAAACAAGGGGGCAGGGGTGTGGCTCAGCCAGTGGTGATGTACCCCTGCCAATCTCAAGTAGAATGAATCACTAGTATGGAATATGGTATGGCTGAGTCTTGAAGACATGACTGAGTGAAGCCAGAATTTTTTTTTTTTTTGAAACGGGCATTACAATTCAAAAAGGTAACACTGGGCATAGTAGCCTGGACAGCTAAAGACAGACTGAAAATGCAAAATGTCTCAGGGATATGGCTCAGTGCAAAGGCTCCAAGTACATCGGCACTACTGCAAAAGTAAAATTTAAAATAACACAGAGGGACGGGGGATATGGCTGAGCAGCATTAGGGCCTGCCTGCCAAGTGGAAGGTCTTGAGTTTGGTCCCTGGTATCAAAAGACAGCATACAGGGCTAGGGATATGGTTCAGTGGTATAGCTCTTGCCTAGCATGAAAAAACCTCATTATACATGACTCCATTTATTTATTTTTTTTATTTTTTGGCGGAACTGGGGATTGAACTCAAGCCCTTATGCTTGCCAGGCAAGCACTTAGTACTACTGAGCCATCTCCCTGGCCTGATTCTTTTAAATGTCTATAAAGTCCAAAGAAACAGAAAAGGGCTGACTAGGGACTGTGGCTGGAGGACCAAACACAGTGACTGGTAATGGTTGCACTTTAAGGGTTCATCTTAGAAAAAGACATGGTGGGGCCGGGGAGATGGCTCAGTAGAATAAGTACTTGCCTGGCAAATGCAAGGATCTGAATTCCCGGTTCCACCAAAAAAAAAAAAAAAAAAAGACATGGTTTTCTTAGAAATGGTTATAACCACTGGGTGTGGTGCAACCTTGCAATTATAGCTACTTGGAAGACAGAGGTAGTAAGATCAGAAGTTTGTGCCCCAACTGGATAATCTGAAACCCTTCTAAAGTTAAGAAAGGGGCTGGGTAAGGGTCAGCCAAATAGCTCAGGGAATAAAAGCGCCTGCTTAGACAGATGCAAGAGCCAGAAGTTCAAACCTCTGGTCTGTCGTGCTGGCCCTGGCCCTACCTTTGGGGCACGCTGAAACAGCGACTGAGACTGGGCATGGTGGTGCACACCTAATCCCAGCACTTGGGATGTAAACAGGAGGATCACTATGAGTTCAATATAATAGTGAGACCCTGCACACCCTATAGGCCCTTCCCTAAAATACAGGAAAAAAATAAAAGTACCATCACTGGATCTGATAGTTAATGTTTATAAATCCCAGTTTGTTAGAAAGTTGAGCCAGGAGGACCTCAAATTCAGGACTTCAAAACTGGGGAGACCCTGTGTTCAAAAAAGCCACCATTTGGGCCAACCTGATAGCTCAGCAGACTAAAGCGCCTGCTTAGGCAGAGCGCAGCAGCCAGGGAGGCTGAAAACAGGAGGATCACTACAAGTCCGAATGTGTAGGTAAGACCCTGTAGCCCCTGTACCCCTGTCCTAAATATAGAGGAAAAAAGAAAAAGCCACCATTTAACAAAGCTATCATTGTTGGATATTTATCTTTACTGGTAATTACCATTCACAATAAAAATCTCAATTGAACTTGAATTGCTAATTCAAATTTTATGAACTAAACTAGGCACAGCTGCACACACCTATAATCAGCACTGGGAAGTCTACGGGAGATGGATCTCAAAATTGGAGGCCAACTAGTGCTACATACTAAGATGCTGTCTCAAATACCATCAATTAAAAAGGCCAAGAGGGTATGAACTAACTGAACAGAAACAGTATATTTTAGTGTGTTTTTTTTTGTTTCTTTTTTTTGCAGAACCGGGGATTGAAATCAGGCCACTGCGCTTGCCAGGCAAGTGCTTATTCCACTGAGCCAGCTCCCCGGCCCCTAGTGTGGTTTTGACTGTTATTATCAAACATGTTGATGATTTCAGGTGTCAATTTTGCTCACCTCTGGTGCCCAGCTGTCTGGTCAAAGACTTTTTTTTTTTTTGGTACAAGGTCTCGCTATACATCTCAGACTCATAGTGATCCTATTTTCAGCCTCCACAGTGCTAGGATTACAGGCGTGCGCCACCACACTTAGTCTGGGTGACCAGCTTGGTGCACCTGGGGCGGGGCTGCTGCAGCATATAGTGCTGGGGATCAAACCCAGGTCCCTGTGCTTTGCCAAGCAGGCACTGAGGCCGCTGACCAATTTCGCCAGCCCTGGTCAAAGACTTCTGTTGTTGTTCCTGTGCAGGTATTTTGTAGACACAACTTAACATTTGTGATTGGTTGACTTTGAGGAAACTGTCCTCAATAATGCAAATGGGGCCCTATTTAGTCTGCTCAAAGTCTTAAGAAGTAAAAAAATGAATTCTCAGAGAAGGAATTGCTTCAAGACTTACTATGAAAATCTTGCCTGAGTTTTTATTCTGCCAAGCTGTAGCCTACCTATGCCAGCCACGTGACATCAGCTACTCTGGGTTTTAGCTTGCCTGCCACAGACTTCACACTTGGGAATTCCCACAATAACCTCTGTCAGTTCCTTGAATATATTTTTAGCAGAGACACATGTCCTATTGACTCTTTCTCTGCAGAAGTATGTTGAAATAGCATGTTTATATTTTCTTTTTCACAGTTACCACATTATAATATTCAGAACATCCAATTCTAAATAAAAAGTGCATGCATTTTCTTGTGTAGCTTTTGTGTGTGTGTGTGTGTGTGTGTGTGTGTGTGTGTGGTGTGTATCGTGCTGGGATCAATGCCAGGGCACTGGGAATGCTAGGCAAGCACTACACTTACATATGTCATAGGGTTGCAAGCAATATGTGTGGTAAAATATGGTGACCGGCTGTCACTCACGTGACAAAGAGACTGAGTAAGTAGGAGTTACATACTGATACTGCAGGTATGTTACTAATCTCCAAAAGAAAGGCAGTGTCCCCAAGGCACTTCTGGAGACTGGCTAGACTTTGTCCCAAGTGTGACTCTTAGTGGAACTGGGCTTTCTGGACTGCCAGCTCCCTTGTGTCCAGTGACCACTCCACCAGCTGTTAAGAGGCATGAATTGTTATTGTCAGCTGAGGATATATGCAGGAAAGTGTTGAAATTATGAATTTGATTTGATCTTTGCCTGAAGGTAAAGTCTCAATTGCCATCTCAGCGTGCCCTGGTGGTGGGGCCGGCATGGCAGGCCCGGGGATTCTGTCTTGTCTTGTTTTGTTTTTTTGAGATGGGGTCTTGCTCTGCAGTCCAGGCTAGCCTCGAGCTCACTTTGTAGCCCAGGTTAGGCTTGAACTCGCAGTGATCCTCCTGCCTCATCCTCCCCAGTGCTGGGATTATAGGCTTGCGCCACCACATCGAGCTTAGGTGATCTAAGGGACATTTTGCTGACAGAACTTATTTTTCCTATAAAATTACTGGTTTTGTTTTTTCCTTTTTTTTTTTTTTGTGGAACCAGGGATTGAACTCAGGCTCTTGTGCTTGCTAGGGAAGCACTTATTCCACTGAGCCATCTCCCCGGCCCCTGTTTTTTCCTTTCTGACACAGGGTCTTGCTATGCAGTCTAGGTTGGTCTTGAACTCACAGTGATCTGTCTTAGTATCCCAAGTGCTGGGACTGCAGGTAAGTGTCACCATGCCAGCTCCCCCAAATTTTCCTTGAACAAGTTCCAAAATACATTCAGATTTTAAACTCCTGAATTGGGCCAGAGATGTAACTCAGCAGCACAGCACCTACCTTGCAAGCATGAAGTTATGAGTTCAATTCCCAGTACCAAAAAGTAGAAAATAATTTTTAAAAACTTTTTTTTTAGGGAAGGGTCTACAGGGTGCTCAGGGTCTCACTACTAGTTAAAAACTTTGGTTTGAGACAGATCTCACTGTGTAACCCAGGCCAGCCTCAGATCGTGACAATCCTCCTGCCTCAGCCTCCCAGAGTGCTAGGGTTATAGGGTATGCCACCATGCTCAGCAAAAAGAATTTTTCAAACTGACAGATACAAGTAACATAGTAAGACTGATACCCCAGGGTAGACACCATATATCTAGGGAGTAACAGGCTCCTTGGGAAGTGTACTCACATCCTGGTCACATCCTGCTCTAACTATGTCTGCATTTGGCTCTTAAAAGGATGGGAATTCCTCCAGGGAACAGTTTACCTTGTATTCCTCACCACCTAGCTGCACGAACAGTGCCAGCCACAAGGGATGATTTGGTGAGAGCTGACAAGAGAAACAGAAGTGGATTCTTTCTTACCTTCCAGTGCATCATCTCCAACCTCTTCATATGTCTGTCAAGAGACCAGAAAGGCGAGTGAGCAGCCTGGTGACAGCCTAGCCCATGATCACGGTTTATTTTTAACAAGACTGTCACTTTAGCTTTCCCCACCTTTTCTGAAGCCAAGCTCCAAGTCCCGTCCCACAGAATGACATGTCCCAAAGAGGAAATATAACCCAAGAGGGCCAGACTTGCCAAGACACAGGTACCTGCATGGTGCTCTGGGTGTAGCCGTACTGGGGGTAACTGTAGCTGTAGCTGCCTGTGTTCTGGTCATAGCCCCACTGGGCATAGTAGTTCTGGTACTGTTGATAATACTGGTTGTAGCTATAACTGTACATCTGACTATATTCCACTGGCTTTACACGGCTCCTTATATTAACAAACAAAAATAAATAAATTAAGCAGACATTTGTATAGTATTTCCTGTATGACAAAGGGCTGTTCTGCTTTCTATAGTAATTAACATTTAACCCTCACAACAATTAGTATAGCATTGTTCCTACTTTATAAATGAACTCAACGTACAGATTTAATAACTGCACTGCAATTATGCCATTAATAAGAGATTCAAACCCAGGCAATTGGTCTCTAGAGCCTATCTATACTTTCAGCTGGGTGTGGCAGCCCACACTTGTAATCCCTAGTACTCTGCAGGGTAAGGCAGGAAGATCACATGAGTTATGTTGGTTTGTTTTTGTCTTTTTTTTTTTTTTGTGGAACCAGGGATTGAACTGAGGCCCTTGTTTTTCAGGCAAGCGCTTATTCTACTAAGCTATTTCCCCAGCCTCGTTTTTGTCTTTTTGAGACAAGGTTTTGCCATGCAGTTCAGACTGGCTTCAGACTCACAGAGGTCCTCTTGCATCAGCCTCAGTATCGGAATTACAGACAGGCGCAGCACCACACCTGGCCTATGTTTCTTTCTTTTTTTTTGGTCTTTTCAATTCTCCTGCCTCAGCCTCCTGAATGCTGGGATAACAGGAAAAACTTTATTTCCATTTTTTTTCCTTCTTTTTTTCTTGTCCCCCCTAATCCCCTTCTCATTTAAACATTTTCTTTCTTTTTTTGCTCCGAATGCCTTCAGGGCAGGTTTGGCTGGCTTGAGTTGTGAGGATCGAACCACAGCAACCTGAGCCTGACTGTTTTGTTGAAGCAGCCACTTAAAGAACTGAGCTAAGGGGTAGGCCCCTAAACATTTTCTTTCTTTTTTTTTTGTGGAACGAGGGATTGAACTCAGGCCCTTGCGCTTGCCAGGGAAGTGCTTATTCCACTGAGCCATCTCCCTGGCACCCCCGCAAACATTTTCTTTCCATTTCCAAATATCTATTATTAATTTTGATCCATCTTTTCACTTTCAGTTTCTCACACTAGAGAAACAATGAGGCATTTACTTGTGTGTCTCATTTATTTCACTTAAGAGTATGGTATCGGGTCGGGGAGATAGCTCAGTAGAGTAAGTGCTTGCCTGGCAAGCACAAGGTCCTAAGTCCAATGCCCTGTACCACAAAAAAAAAAAAAAAAAAAAGAGTATGATCTTAAGGCCCATCCATTTAGCTAGAAATGTCCCAAGCTTATCCTTTATGGAAGTATAGTGCTCCTCATCACCTTTATTCATTCAATGGTTAATGGGCATTTGGGCTATTTTCAAGATTTAGCTGCTACAAATTGTGTTGCTATAAATAAACATGGGTGTGCATATATCTCTGTGGTATAATGCTTTTAATTCTTTCAAGAAAATATCAAGAATAATAGCTGGGTAGAATAGAACCTCTAGTTTTAGTTCTTTGAGAAATCTCCACAGATTTCCAAGTGGTTGCAACAGTCTACACTCCCACCAACTGTGGAGAAGGCTTCCGTTTCCTCCACAGCCCCAGGAGCACTTGTTATTGGATATTTTTTTATTAAAGGCCATTCTTTCTGAGGTGAGATGGAATCTTGGTGTGGACTTATCTATTTATTTTTATCTTTTTTTTTTTTTTAGGAAGCAGGGATTGAACTCAGGCCCTTGCACTTGCCAGGGAAGTGCTTATTCTACTGAGCCATCTCCCCGGCCCTATTTTTATCTTTTTGAGTCAGTCTCATTATGCAATTCAGGCTGAGATTGAGTTCATTCTGTAGCCCAGGCTGGTCTCGAGCTCACAGCGATTCTGCCTCAGTCTCCCAAGTGCTGGGATTACGGGTGTGCATTACCATGCCTGGTGAACCATGCCAAATTTAACTGTAACATTAATACCACATTCAGTCAGATTTAACTGTTCCCAGTGCCACGCTATGCTGTTAAGATAGAGCATTTGTTGTGCAAGGTTCACAACACCTTGCCAGGCATTACTACACTTTATTTACCAATCAGGGTGGAGGCCCAGAGTTGGCATAAAACTTTCTTCTCAGGGGCTCAGGAGATGGCTCAGTAGAATAAGCGCTTCCCTGGCAAGCACAAGGGCCTGAGTTCAATCCCCAGTTCCGCAAAAAAACCAAAAAACTTTCTTCTCAATACACAGTGGCAGAGTCACTGCTAACCAAAACCAAAATGCCAAGATCCATTATCTTCTGCAGTCTCATGAAACAAGTCTAGGGCCTAACCACCACTCTTTTTTTTTTTTTTTTCAGAACCAGGGATTGAACTCAGGCCCTGGCTAACCACCACTCTTGGCTAAGAGGAACCACAGATTCAGCATGTGGCAATCTATCTCCAGTCATCCTGCTCTGAAGAGTCTGAGTGTCTTGTAAGTGCCACCAAACATGTGGACAGGCGAAGTACCCACTTGCTGGTTGGCAAGGAGGCGCCTAACAGAGTAGAACACACTTGTTTCGATACACTGAATCTCTACAGTCAAGACAGACAGGAAGCCAAGCCACAAGCAGGAACCGAATATGACACAAATAAATCCCTGTTATAGGAACTGCAAATGCTCCCAGACTGAATGAGCTCTTCATAAATTCCTTGAATCCAGTGTCTGCTCAGCAAGTGCAAGTTAGCCAGAGTTGCTAGGTAAACCCTGTCTGCCCAAGACCTACTTGTTGCATTCACTCCAGAGAGGGACGCCTCCTCCCTGCCCAGTGCTGGGTCAGATGCTCCCCAATATTCTCTTTGGCTCCCCTTTCATGACTCAAAGAATATCTACTACCTCCTCATACACTGGGGTAACTGAAGGCACAGTCTTCCTGGCCTGTGGGTGGTTTTGTCCCCTTTAGCAACTGCACATTTCTGCTGTTTCTCTACATACAGCTGCTACAGTCAAATCCTCCAAGGGAACTCAGATCACCTCCATTCCCAGTGGCTGCGGGCACCAGCTCTGAGGCAAGCACCCGTCACGGACAACCATGTTGAATGAAGAAGAGATACGACACATTACTGTACAACAGATTGCAGACAAGACTTTGTTTCTCTTGCTTATAACAGCCTCATTTTCTCATCTTCAAAGTCTAGCACAGGACCTACGCAGTTGTGGGAACTCATAGTTACTGAATGAAAAACTAGTTATACCAGGAACAGCCAAAATGGTCAACAAGGAATTTCTGGAAAGAGAACATACACAAAGGACTTCTACAGTTGCGAGAGAGATAGAAGGGTGCTGTGGCACAAACCTATAATCCCAGTTACTTGAGAGGCTGAGGGAGGAGGATCACAAGTTCTGTGCAACCTGGACAATTAATAAGACTATATCAAAATAAAAATTTCAAAGAAGAACTGAGGATGTAGCTCAATGGTACAGAACTTGCCAAGCAAACATGGGGCTCTGGGTTCAATTCCAACATTGAAAAAATTTTCTTTAATATTTTTATATAGTTAGAGCTTCCACAACAAATGACATTTTTCTTGGGGGGAATGTAGGCTGATCTATAATGTGTTAAAGACAGTTAAGCTAAGCAGGATGATAGATACCACTAAGCCTCACATGCAGGAGGCTGAGGCAGGATTACAAGTTTAAGGCCAGACTGGGCTGTATACTGAATTCAAGGATATCTTGGACAAGACCTCCATTTCAAATTCTGCCTCTTTTGGTGCAGTTTCTTTTCTTTTTTTAAAATATTTATTTATTTATTTAT